TGCGAAACATAAAGGCAGACTAAAAATACTTTTCATATTATCAACCCTTTTTACAAAAAMTCTAAAGGTTATCTGCTCTAGGGCTTTATAATACTGACAGATTTTATATTACGACGGTTGTATCTTTTTTTTACATACAAATGATGCTTGGATTCTGTACCATCAATGTAATACATGTGATAYTTGTTTTAACCGTTATTTTATACTTTTTAACCGTTCTTTTACTTTCCAAGTAGTGTCATTTGAGCGTGGTATCTCATTGAACTCACTACTAGCGAAAGTATTGTCTGGCAGAAAGTCTTGCGAATGATATGTGGGCCTGTGTTTCGGGTAATTGAGCATTTATGTCTCTCAGTGAGAATTAACTGATTAACCAGACCCAAGGCACATGAAGCGAGGGCAATCTCCACTACTAGAAGACCTAGAACCCAGTGTGGAAGAAACGTTATTTTTGTATTTCACGTAGAGCAAGTCTRAACGTGTTTGGTTGCATGTCATCCGTAGGCGTAAGTCTTCTATTTGTATGATTTCTTTCCCTCGAGACACGACTTAATGAACTCCATTGATTTCGTTTCTGTTTGAATATTTTACAAGGCAGCGTAGCATCAAGGAATATTCGCTTCCATGTTGCGTTCCTGAAAGTATAGATGTACGGATTGACTGCACTGTTTGTATAGTACAGAATCTTGACAAAATCTATGAGAAGCGSATGGTAACATGGTGGTCCACAAAACTGAGTGACAAGAGAAACTATGAAGAAYGGCAGCCACGCGACGATGAACGCGAAAAGGACAATCCCTACTGTTTTTGCTGTACGTTTCTCTTTGTTAATATACTTGCGGAAATTACCCATAGAGTTTGTACGTCGTCGTTTTACGTACTGTCTTACGCTACGGTATGTTATTGCGTATAATATCATTATAACGAGTAATGGTAGGATGAAACCTATGATAAACACTCCAATTGCACGATAATTGGTCCAGATAGGAGTGAAATCAACGATGATRACGACACTAGCTACCAGACCATATAACCAAGCAACAGCAAGCATGATACGAAAAATGTACCTCGGACACGATCTGTGCCAAAGCGGATAGGATATAGCAAGACTTCTCTCTAGACTGATAGCCATTAAATGTGCTGTTGATGCCAAAGCACTGAATATGTCCAGGAACTTATAGATATGATAAAAGACTGGTCCAGTAAAAGTACAATTGTTATGAAGAGGGTAGGCCAGGTTTACAATCCACATTGGTATGGACACCGCCCCTACTAGAATATCTGACACTGCTAAACTCACAAAAAACATGTTGGTAGCATTTCTAAGTTTTCTGTTYYTTACGAAGGTAATGACTATGACAGTGTTGCTGGCAACAATGATACAAACAAGGGTACTATAGACGGCGATGAGAGCGTTGACTTCTGTTGCGTCTCGACATAGTGACTGTGTTATATTCGAGGATCGAGGCGTTTTTCCTTGACTTATATTCATTGTGCTATCGCATGTATTTGAAATTATGTCCAGACTATCGATAATCAATATTTTCGCCGGTGTGTTTGAATTGGTCAGTTTTGAGTTGATTGCGCCGCTGCAGAGCTTTGTTAATTGATTAAGTCAGTTCAAGGTTTCTTGAATGTTCTGAGGTTTAGTTCAAGKTTATAACTTAGAAAAAMCCTTCCTAATCTTCTTTTCTTGTCAASGCAATTTGGTCAGCACATTGTATAGAGTGTGGTAAAGGCAGATGTCTCGTGCTTGTCACGATAGTCTGAGTCTTCRCGATGTATTCCTGTAGTCTGAAACACAAAATAAAAACAAAAARCTGTTTTTAGAACTATACATTCGATTTAAGATTCAAAAGGTTAACGATAAAATATGTCAAGAAATAGTCTAGTTTATCGCTCGTTTTATCATATTTAGCAGTCGAGCTGTGGTTTTATCATGGCATAGATGTCTCTATTAACTGGCTTATCACATTGAGAAAAAGCACTTTGATCCTGTATTTTAGTTCGCATCTTCTGGAAACATTTAAGACCGCAATATTGCTATTAAATGATTTATATTAGTAYAAAGAATAGTATTCGTGATCAAAAAACATAATGGCCATTCGTGGATATAAGGAATTTATCAATAATTAATTTTATTTGTTTGTACTTCAGCGATCGTGGACAGCAAAGTTTTATTTTCAGTTATAACTAATAAACTGTACACAACRCTTGGTCATGAATGAAATTATGCAGATACCCGATTGTCTTTCAAGCGTGAGAAAAAAGTCTAAAAAACTCTATTTATTTAATATGAAAAATTGCCTCCGTTATATATTTTGTTATTTTTTTTAGAAAATGTCGTTTTTGTATATCGAAAGTTTGTGAAGTTCACAAGAATGTATTTCTTTCTCATATCATGCCAGGGACTCATGCTTTGTAGTCACAGACAATTCGTGATATGATAAATATGTTTTTAGAAGTTAACAAATAATGAATATATAAATTAAACAAAAACTTACTCGTAACCAACCTCCCTGGCTGTATTTCCCTTTATTCAGTCATGAACATCTGATATAGCATTTACCCCGGGTATTTACGTTTTGAGAATAATAACTATGAATAGAGTTACTTCAATAATCAAAACATTCAGAAACTTAGAAATGCACAGCAAGTAATGTAAAGTATGATTATTATAGGATATT